ATCTTGGAGTTTTGGGGATGACAGTTGAGTGTGTTCGGAGGTCTGAATCAGGTCAGGGGTTTCGTGACAGTGGGAGCATAGGACGTGTTCCGAGTACAGTTCTGAAACGTCGTTGGGTTTTGAGGACCAAGAATCCGAACGTTAAAATCTCTCCTGGGAATAGTTTGCTGGATTTGGAGAGTGGTAATGGTCCTCGGTGTATCTCTGGATCCGGTGGATTGTGCAAGCCGGTTGAGACAGAGGCTGTGGCGGTTACAGTCACGACTGGGTTGGAGCTCGGTGGAGCTTCAACTGTCCTTTCATGTTATTAATGAAGGGGGTGGTTGCAACTAGGGGATATAACTGGAGTCTTAGCTTGTTCTTGGGAACTGGAGGCTTGGAGGACTTGGCAGTGAAGATTACTGAGTTACTCATGATGGGTTTACTTGGATGGCATTTGTGTCTATGCGAAATCCTTCAAGTGGGAGATTGTTGGGTTATTCGGTGAAGGCTTTAGAGCTGTGGGCTTTAAGCCTGGTCGGCTAAAGGGAAGAAACATGGGGGGCCGGTTTTAGTTATTAATTAAAGGGCCCATTAGTTGTTTCTTGTTTAGCAAGTTGTTAACCCTAGTTTATATCTTATAAATACCCAATCATGTAACTATAATCTGTGAGCCCCTAATAAAAGATAAACCCTAGCTGCAACCCGTGGAGTAGTTTACTGACCGAACCACGTTAAATCTTGTGTTCTTATTTTCTGCTATTTGTGTGTGTGTGTTTGTTCGCTTCCGCTTGACCGCCTCTGATCTCTGATTCCTAACATATGGAACATGGCTTGTCCAGCTACATCTTCAGCCCTCCCTTTCTTTTGGTGTACTGCTTCGTTTCTTGCTTTCCAGATGTAGTAAATACACACTGCCCATACAGCCGAACCAATCATCCTATCCTTCCCCTTCTTAGCTTTTTGGATTTCTTCTACAACCTCTTCTAAAGAATTAGCATTGATTCTTAGGTTTAGTTCCTGCCATACTCTCCTATACAATTCTTGTGCATACCCACATTCCCAAAATAAGTGTTGTTAAGTTTCAAGTTCCTCCTCGCACAGAACACAATTAGGGTTGATATCCATAAATCTGATCAATCTGTCCTTAGTTTGCAATCTCCCCCTCCACATAAGCCAAACAATGATTTGAGCTTTGGGTGGTGTTAGTTTGTTCCAAACCCACTCCCTCCAGATTGGGATACTGTGCTCCCCTTGTAACCAATTATACCCACTGCTAATCTCATAAGGTTTGTTATGAGGCATATTTGAGAACTTCTTTCGTACCTTGATCATTTCCTTCCAATAGTGGCATGAGTCAGGTTTGGGCATATAATTCCACACATCACCTCCTTCAATGTATTTAGTATGTATCCACTTTACCTATAACACATCTTTCTTCTCAGCAATATCCCAGTTTAAGCTCATGATGGCAACATAGTTCCAATTCTGCACATTTTTAATCCCCAGCCCTCCATGTTTCTTCATTTTACATACATCATCCCAGTGGACTAAGGGGGTCTTCTTATATTCACAGTCCCCACCCCATAAGAAATTTCTACATAAGGCCATAGCTCTTTTCATAACCCCTTTAGGTAGGATGAAAATTCTAGTCCAGAAATTTACCACCCCCAATAAAACTGAATTAGTTAGTCTGATCCTTGCAGCATAAGGAAAGTGCCTAGAACCCCAAGCTGTAATCTTAGAGGTCAGCTTGTTGATCAGAGCATCACAGTCCTGATTCTTCAATCTAGCAGTGGTGATTGGGCTTCCCAGATATGTAAATGGGAATTTACCAAGCTTGATGTCTAATATCCCCAGAAGATCCTTTTGCCTATCTTGATTGATACCTCCAAATACTGCCTGGGACTTAGTCTTATTTAAAATCAAACCAGTGGAGCTATGAAAGTTCTCCAGTACTCTGTTTACACACTTAATTGAGTCTGCATCTGTCTTACAGACCACAATCAAGTCATCTGCAAATGTTAAATTTATGAGTCTCTGACTGGCACCCATAGGATGGAAGGAAATTTTCTCTGTTTGTGCTGCCATCCTTAAGCTCCTTGTTAGATACTCCATGACCAACACAAATTTAATACAATAAAAAGTTGATGACCAAGTTTGTGGTTGTGTAATCAATGGATTAAAATCAGGCATTATTCATATAATTATCCAGGTCCTAAATATAATATAATTATGGCGTGAGGTAAATTTGAACCCGTTTTCGAAAAAAAACAACACCCTGCATATGATCAATTTTCAGAGATAATTAACCATCTGAAACTCCATAGCATTGTTTGAGTAAGGGGCTGTTTGTTTCAGCCTCTTAATGGTTCAGATATCTGAATGGTTCACCACTTAATGGTTCAGACTGATTGTTTCAGCTTCTTAATGGTTCAGATGTCTGAATGGTTCAGACATTTGCCTCTGAATGGTTAAGTATTATACAGAGTCTGAATGGTTAAGACCTCTTATCTGAATTGATCAGACATTTGCCTCTGAATAGTTAAGCAATATACTAGCTCTTAATGGTTCAGAAGCACTTAATGGTTCAGACCTCTTACTGGTTCAGCACTTACCTATTCAGAAGTTGCCAAACAACCCCTAAGTGTTTTGAGCTGCCATTGTCCATGTCCTCGTCATGATAGCCACCTAACGTTCGAACCTATGATATTGAAATATGGAAGCCTTGAGAATCAAATATATGTATAACAAGTTCAAATGAAAGAAGAAAAGGGTGTTACCCCTAGCAATTGATCCATTCACGCCTTATGGTTCATACTGAAATTTCAGAGAAACATCATGGATTCATGGGGTCAAAAATCCAAAGCAACGATCAAAACAAAGTCAAAAATTGAAGAAGAATGCATCAAGTTTAGCAAAATTTGTATCAATGCCATTGGATAAATAGATTTATTTATTTCTGATCTCTCAAACCTTGCTAGACTTTCCATACCATGTACAATCATAATCATACCCACCTAGGAGAAGAAACAAACAAAATCATTAGTTAAACCTCTCCATATTTAGAAATGAAGATTTATAGGGAACCACGATTATACAATGCATCTACCTTGCCTAGCTGATTCACCCTCCCTGTAGTTGTCAGAATCTATTTGTCGGGGCTAGGGTAAAAAACCTAGCTCGGCCCACCGTCATCTTTGTCCATTTGCCGGGGCTAGGGTAAAAAAACCTAGCCAAGCCCGCCACCATCATTTCCATGACCGCCTTCCACCTTCTCCAGGCCAATGGTTTTTAATCTGGAAACCCAATGATCAAAAGCCTTAAAATTATGATGAAATAAAGTGTATAGAGAAATTAAAGGAAGAAGAAGAAAAAAAATATTACCCCTCATTGAATCTGCCTATTTCCCCTATTGTCTCCAGAGTGTAACTCTGTTTGCATGAAGGCGAGATGGGACATACCTGATGCTACTGAGAACATGAAAGATCTGCATCTGTTGCTGCCAGACATCTTATTCCTTTCCCTTGTGTCTGAACTGGGCCAATCAACATAGTAAGTGAAATATTTTGTGCCTTCTTTTTGAAGTTTGTTCAGAAAAATGCGATAAAGCATTGTAATAATGTCAAATTGAGTTCTATCTGTTTCCTATTTCTGATACTGTTTCTTGCTTCCTTCTTCCTGTTGACATGTTCACAAGACACAAGTAAAATACAATCTTTTTTTTATATATCAGCCTTCCAGTTCCACTCCAATTCAGATCATATCCTTCCGCAGAAAGTTTTTTTCCCTTTCAAATTGACAATTAAAATGCTTGGTAAATGGATTGCTCTTTGAAATATCTAGTAGCAATGTACCCAAGTATCTGATTGAGGAAGTCCGTAGAGGTTGCATCTGAGTTTGCAATGCAGCTCCAAATAAACACACTTCCATATCCCATAAACTTATCCTTAGTACAACAACAGCAACTACGCCTCAGTAGAGTGAAGGTGATGCCCAGGTCTTCCACTGTCTTTGTGAAAAATATACTTAAATGGCTGTGACAACACATAGATGAAGCAATTCACAAAAATTGAGGAAGATTGGATGTGATTTGCACTTGTTTCAAGTTAAAATTTGTATTAAAAATCGAGTTGAAAAACATGCATCTCTTACAAAGATGTAAACAGATATGTAGGACATACACATGTTATACACACAAAGGATACACAGGGTAGAAACTTTATCATCTTCTTTGGGACCATTACTCTTATTCAACTCTAACAACCACAAATTATCACAAACAATATAAAAATTGTGATTCGAACTGCTTTGAAAATTCAACATTTTCAAAAATTTTTACTCTGTAAATTCTTGGGAGCCTTTCTCAGTTTTTCCCTCTCAATTTTTTTTATTATATAATTAATGATGCACTTTGGGCGTTGCCTTCCCTAACTTTCGATTTATGAATGGGGAATTTCATGTTGGGGTTTGTGTTAATTATTAGGTATTTTGCACATGTACTGGGAATCGGAGCTTTCAGTTTGATTTCTAGTTTTCCATTGATATTATTGCTCTCTGACCTTTCTTTAGTTGCTTCAACTGCACTTTTATGATTTCTTTTTGGGTTGGGTATATGTGTACGTTATGTTGGAATATAGGGAGGGCATCAGTAGTGCATGTTAGGGTTGGACTGAAATTGGATGGTTGTTAGTGACTCTGTATATTGTGAATAGAGAAATTATAAATAAGTCACTTTTGAGCTACATTAGGATCTGTTTGGTAGACAGATACAGAGTATGAGTTATTCTATACATTCCACTTGTTAGCACTTAAGCAGCTTATTTGGCTGAAATGGATGTTTACCAAATGCTTTTTTGTTAGTAAACTCACGAGAGTCAGCCATATTAGCAAGATATATTACTCTTACCAAATGGGCCTTGTTTTTCAATTTTTCCTCATAAATCTTTTAAGTGCACATAAGCTAGTGGCTTTGATTACTTGTCTAAGCATTTGTTATGTTCCAAAGAGGGGAGAAGAAAACGGGAGAGCTTATAAAAATGTTGTGTTTGGTTCAATTGAGGGCCGAGGATACATTCTTCTTTTTGAAAATAAATACTAGTGCTTGATATGCTTTTGTTGTAATTGAAGTTCTATATGGATTAAAATAATAACAACATTACCTGGTGCCTCAAAGGGTCCCTCCTATTGAGGGGTAAGGGGTATGTGGCTTGATACTTATATCGAAAATACAGAACGACTGTTTTCCAGATGACCCATGATGGATGTTGAAAGTTGCATTGAATAATTGTAAATTAACTATAAAAGAAGCGCAAAGAGTTTGAATAGCCATTTTGCTTTATTCTATCATACCCTAAAGCTAAAAAATAGAGATGTATATAATTTTTTAAAAGGAGAAAAAAATTATAAATTGTTCTAGATCCCTATTTAAGAATGAGATGCGAGTTTGAAATTGTATAATGAAGTTGTTTTTATTCGCATGTTATGATTATTACTCATACTATTTAAGTCATGTTCTTTTGATTTGGAAAAATTAACATTTAACTTTTTCCTAATTCTTTCAATTTTTTCCAACTTCCACCTCCTTCCAGTTTTTTTCTGTTCTATTCAATTTCTTCCAACAATGACTTAAAAAAATATTTATATATGATTAATATAAAATACTCTCTCAGTCACAGAGTATTTGTCTAGTTTTGACTTTTGAGTATTAGTCTAGTTTTCACTTTTTTCTATCAATCGTTTTCACGCTTTAGCGTATAATTGAATAAAATATATATTGTATATTAATTAGATAAAATAATGTTTTGAAATTATTTTATATAATAAATCTAATGAAATGTATCAATATCTAGTTCCAACTTAGAGGAATAAAAGGGAATCAAATTCCAACTTCACAATTAATATATACCTAGCAAACTATGTACATGTAGTCTAATAGGGGCATAGTTATAAAAATTGAATCAGCACTGGTTCACTGGTCGAATTGGTGGTTCAAAAATATTACTCGATACACACACACACACACACACACACACACACACACACACACACACACACATATATATATATATATTTCATACATATTCCGTTTATACTACTTAACATAAAAAATTCTTCTCAGCCTTTTGCATAGTCAACAAAGATATAGCAGGAACACTGGTTTCCATTGCTTTTCTCAAGCTCATTAAGCATGACTTCATGTCCAAATACGGTGCTGTAGCTTCTACTACTCATGGCCTTAACAAGGAATATGGGTATCTGACTCTAATTTTACTTATGAAAATTTTCTGTTGCCTCATTTTTTATTGTAGAGTACTATTATTGCTGGCCTAAATTAAGGGATCATATACAATATTGTGGTATATATTAAATTTTAGTATTTAAATTTTGATTATGTTTCATCACTAAATAATGAATTTGATACATGAAAATAAATGGGTAGCAGTCATTTCTCAAACAAAGGTAGAAGTTCACATGCTTACATTTAAGGTACATTGTAAGCACTTATATGTACCCTTTTTTGCTTATAACTTTTCACTTCTCAATTCTTTGGAAAAGAGTGTTCCTTAAAATGCATACCCAAAATTTGGAACACAGTCAAGACAACCTAGCACAGTAAACTAAACGCCACAACATGCAATTGGAACCCAAACACAAAAATAAATTCCAAGCTATACAACTTCCTTGGTTCCGCTAAGCAAAAGAGAAACAAAAACAAACTCTGAAGTGCATGTATTTCAAACTCCTGCAATAAACTGCCATTCTTTTTCATTTCAACAAATTTTCAAATTGCAAATTCCATGATTTCATATTGTTCTGATTGTGATGTGTATTGTGACTTAGCTTGTTGATTACTTTCCAGTTTCATACCAGAAGAACAGCTCGCTCAATGTGAACAGCACTTGTTCAAATCTATTCATAGCAGTTTGAAACCCGTTGATCACTTTTTCTAGTCCAATGATAAACGTAATGTGTAATATCCTTTTCTTTTCCAAATTGCATAATTCTTAAAATTCTCCCTTTTTCCTTTTCAAAAAACACCGTACTAAATTTTTTTGTGTCAGTTAGGAGAAAGTTATGGCTCCAAACTAGTAGTTCTTAGCACCCTGTTCTTCAATTTGACTCAATACACTATAAATTTTAGTACGATATTCTTGTTTCTTCCAAAACCATCAACAACTTTGTTTATTTTTGAAATTCATGTTAGTTTATTTTAGATTTTTATTTAGTTGATGAAAGTTATGGCTCTGATTTGGTTCATTGTGATGCATTATTTTTTTCTCTGGAGAGGTTTAGCACAGATTGCTTATGAATATAGTAGTATATATTTTCTCATTATTCAAGCCACATGTTCAACTATTCCATCACTAGTAGCGGGTGAGTATTTTGATCTTATCCTTGTGGACATTGTTACGGTTTCAGTTGCCAGTACTTCTTCTTTATATGGTTCTCAAGTGCATATTTGGTGGTTGTTTGGAGTAAAATGTCTCAATCTCTGTAAAAAAAAACAAAGGAGCTCATTGTTTTGTTTAAGAAAATAGATTGTGCCATGTCTTTCTCACTGTTAACTCATTAACTTCTTGTTCCAAAGAAGCTGATTACACTCATGTGCATAGAGTTTACTGTTTTTATGCTCATTACTTCATACAGTTCTACTATTTTTCATCAGCGCTAGTTCGTGTCTCTGTGTATGTTGATCTCATCATTGTACCATAATTTACACATTTTCGGTTTTCTCTTCTGCCTGCGAGATTTCTATGATGAAGCTACAATTGAATAAAGCTTACAAAGTAGGACTTAAATTAGAAAGATGAAGCTAGAAGTGTTTGTTTTTAAATACTCTAACAAATATAAATTCATTTAAGATTCTGATGAAATTCCCTAAGGATTATAAGCTGAATTCGTGGTTTGTTAAATACGCAGTGAGCTCTCATGGATTGAATGTTGAGGACGCAAAAAAATTTGAAGAGGCTGATATCAACAGCTGCCTTAATGGCTTGATAATGCACGTGAAAAAGGTGAAAGGAAAAAGCAACTCTTGTTATTATCTACAAAACGAGAAGTACTACTTTATACTTTTGTTCCTTATTCTTTCTTAGTTTGCATCACAACAGGAAGCTTATGTATTCCCTAAACCTCCGCTTATCCATTGGGAAAGCATTAAGAGGAAATTCTTGCCAAAGAGTATTAACACAAATGACACAAGTAAGTCATGTGTGTTCTAGCATTTAGTGCATTAATACTTTTTATGTATCATCAAAGAATGTTGAATATTAATATTCTTTTAAGTAAAGTATTTAGGTAACTAAGTACCAAAGCAGGAGTCCCCTAATTTTTGAAGTTGGTCCATGTATTTCTTCCTTATTTTGCATATGTTTTCTCATTTGCAGATTACCAGATCTGCTTCCCACTCCCAACTCCCACCCAACTCCCAGATCATGAACTTCCCTCATTGACTCCCAGTTTACTACTTATTCATCCGAGTGAGGAAACATGGGTTCTCTATAACCCCAAAGCGTCAAAGACTTGTTCTATTGAATTGGATTTTAGAGGCCATAAGCTGGTTGGGTCATCTCCGGGAGGATGGCTGGTGTTTTTCAACTGTGCAGAAGATACATTGAACTGCTATGATTTCTATGATAAGGGTAATTGGCATAAGCTGATGACTCTACCCGGACAACGAAATTATTGGAGTAACTGCACATACTGTTCATGATGGAACCATCGGACGGGATCCCAGTGATTTACCACTTTGAGATTGATCGTGACACAATTATTCACCATGGGATGTTTAGCCATCAACATGGAGGAAAAATAAAAAATGTGTCGTTGTTTGAAAGTGTGTTGCATCTGATAGTCTCTAATGATAGAAACTCCTACTTTCAATCTATTAGATCAGATTTCTCCGCATGTCAAGTCACTTTGAGTGAATCTGATCTCGATCGCTATATGGAGTTGGGCAAAACAATGTTTACTAGCATGGTGTTATCTCCATCGACAACACCGTTGATCATGGTCTTCAGGCCTGAGATGCATTTAGTTTTGTATCAATTTTTTAGGTTTGGAGAAAATGGATTTCTTGATTTAGAGTCGGTATTTTTTGAATAGATACTGGCTCTAAATCAGGAAATCCATTTTCTCTAAACCCAATAAATTGATACAAAACTAAATACATCTCAAGCATGAACACCATGATCAACGATGTTGTTGATGGAGATAACACCATGCTAGTAAACATGGTTTCGCCCAACTCCATATAGCGATCGAGATCAGATTCACTCAAAGTGACTTGACCTGTGGAGAAATATGATCTAATAGATTGAAAGTAGGTGTTTCTATCATTAGAGACTATCAGATGCAACACAAACAACAACACATTTTTTATTTTTCCTCCATGTTGATGGCTAAACATCAGGCCGCCCATAAGCATGTTCACCAGGTGCTTTCGAACAGGGCCTCCCAAATCTGCAGGCCTATTTTTTAACACCTTAAGTCAAAGCCCGATAATTTGTCCATGCCTAATGCTGGTTCCAACCCAATAATTCAGCAAATCCAACGATTAAAATGGCTCTATTATGATTTCATTCCCCTTTCATATTTTAAAAATTACTCGAGTATGTTCGAGTAATTTATTTTTTAGGCCTAAAAACTTATTTTAAATTTTTGATTTAAAAACTTTAAAGCCTAAATTGCTAAATTGCACAGGGCCTTCTTAAATAATTGGGCGGGCCTGCTAAACATCCCATGGTGAATAATTGTGTCACGATCAATCTCAAAGTGGTAAATCACTGGGATCCCGTCCGATGGTTCCATCATGAACAGTATGTGCCGAGTACCATCAGTTACTCCAATAATTTCGTTGTATTATGTCAATCCGAGTAGCGTCATCAGCTTATGCCAATTACCCTTACCATAGAAATCATAGCAGTTCAATGTATCTTCTGCACAGTTGAAAAACAGCAGCCATCCTCCCGGAGATGACCCAACCAGCTTGTGGCCTCTAAAATCCAATTTAATAGAACAAGTCTTTGACTCTTTGGGGTTATAGAGAGCACATGTTTTCTCACTTGGATGAATAAGTAGTAAACTGAGAGTCAATTAGGGAAGTTCATGATCTGGGAGTGGGAAGCAGATCTAGTAATCTGCAGATGAGAAAACATATAAGGAAGAAATACATAGACCAACATAAAAAATTAGGGGGCTCCTGCTTTGGTACTTAGTTACCTAAATACTTTACTTAAAAGAATATTAATATTCAACATTCTTTGATGATACATAAAAAGTATTAATGCACTAAATGCTAGAACACACATGACTTGTGTCATTTGTGTTAATACTCTTTGTCAACCGGGCGCGGAACGAAATCGCAAGTCCCATTATCCTGTAGCGCGTCATATTAGTTTCCATAGCGTGCAACCAATTAGGAATGCCAAAGGCGTTGGCATAGGATTTGAGAAATGGCGGCGGTGTAAAGTCTGATCGGTGGATTTGGGCAGTGGCTATTTGTTTTGGAACGGGTGGCCATAGGATGGGGTGGCGCCGTTGGGCTGGAGGTGGGTTAGGGGGCTTGGTTGGAAGCTGTGGTGGTGTGAATGTGTAATCCCTTGTGGCGGGATCCTTTAATTGGTAAACAATTGCCATTGCCAACTAAAATTATTACGAACAGTTGGATGAATGAGATAGGGCGATAGGGTTTTGAATCTTACCTGGATTGGATGTAATGTGTGAGGAGGAGGCTCCTGTGTCAGCTTGAGTGAACTGCATGCTGGAGAAAGAGTACTGGGCCTGGGGCTACTGCTTGTGGGCTGGATAAAGTAAAATTTGCACTAAATAGTACTCCGTATTAAAGCATATATATTCTTTTTCAATGTATATTTAAATTTTTTTATTCCCTAAATAATACTTGAATAAAGTTTTTATGGCGGGAACAATGTCTAGTGATGGTGAACATTTAGTTAGAACAATGTCCAGTTGCGGTCGATATTTTTTTGAATAATGTCCAGTAGACAATGACCACTGATATTATATTGGAAAATAAAAATATATGGTATTACATTAAAAAAGTCATTATGTTTTAGTACTATTTAGGTAAATTTTTTCTAAATCTATCAAAACAATGTCTCAAATTTAATTTTAACAAATACGGGCTATTCCGTAAGAAATCTCATTTCAATTCTTAAAGATCCGTTTGGTTCACGGAATTAATGGAATCAAAATTAAATTGAGAATTAAAATTCTATGAAATTGATTTGGAAGGAATTAAATTCTTTAATTCTAGTTCATTTTTGACACTACCAATTCTAAATCCTCATACTTTTGTGTTACCAAACAGCAGAATTGAAATTATTATTCTCAATTCTAATTTCATAGTTTGAATCTCGTGTATCAAACAGAGTCTAAATATGTTTTACATGTTTAAAAAATCCATTTGCAGGCTTTTTTTTAGGGATTTTAAAATTGATTAAGCTATTTGTACACTAAAATTTGTACCCTAAATGCATGCACTGAGATTTTGTGCTAGTGTGATACTCCCTTCGTCCTAAAACTTTCTTCCCAGAGCACTATTCCAATTTCACGGGAATTTATATTTATTTGTGTTTTTTCATGGCCTATATGATAAAATAAAATATTCTTGTCACCACTTGTTTTGTTGAACTTTTGATGTAGTTTTTAAATATGTATGTTTTATTTTTTATTTCTATACCAATATTTAAATAAAATAGATTGAAAAAACTTGGGTTTTTTCTTCGTTTTGCGAACCGAGAAGAAAGATATAGGACGGATGGAGTAGTTTACATTGACAAAAGATATCGGTGCGAATTTTTTAAGTAAACTAACATTTTGTGCTTGTGTGAATCGTTAAAATGTCGATGCATTTTTTTGAGGTACGCTTTTTGGTGTACCCATAGCATGGTTGTTTTAAATTGGATAATGCTATTTATACCCCAAAATTTGTACCCCATTTTATACACCACAGGGATGCACTAGCATTTTGTGTTAGTGTAATGCTGATTTTTGTTAACGCACCAACACTTGTGTCAGCGTAAATTTTTATTAACGCACCAACACTTTGTGACAGTGTGAATCATCAAAATGTTGGTGCATACTTTTAAAATACAAATGAGATATAAATTTTAGGATACATGTAGCATACTAATTTGATAGATGCAGTATAACTGTCAAAACGATTACGGGGCGTAATATAGTCAATAAGAATTAACAAAAAAATTCGAACGTTTAAAGATCCAACTAATCACAAAAGTGTCGAATTAAGTTTATGGTTATGAGCATATGAAAAGTTTAATATTTTCACACACATCTAATGTACATGTGTAATTTGTTTCGGGTGAGCCTTTGATAGAAACATTAAATTTAATAAAATATTTTTTTCTTTGACAATAAATGGGTAATTCATACTTTCAAAAAAAATGGGTAATTCATTATTTAATATTTAAAATCACGATGCAAAGCGTCACAAATAAAGTCTCGAGGGAAAGACAACTACTCCAAATATCGGACACAGAATCGGATGCCCGAGCTAAAAAAATAAGCAACCTGATTGGCAGATCTCTAACAATCGACAATGAAAGAATAAAAAATTCTTCCATAAGTATTTTACAATAATAAATAATCCCCGTGAACTATGAGGTATTCTCCCCTTCTACGTGAAGACCATGAGAAGAGTGTCATATTGTCCATCTCAATAGTATTCTTCTCGTGCTTGAACTCCTTCCAAATGATCACGTAAAAGTGGTAAAACAATTCCCACACGCACAATCCTTGAACCAGGGTTAAAAAACATCTCAGATTTTGAGATAGTGCACCTTGATAAAAGAAATAAGAATAAATTCTAGCCTTTGGATTTGATGCATTGTGCGGCTCAGATTGCATCCTGCATTCAAATTTTGAAATACTGCATTTTCAAAAGATTTTTGTGCATTTCGACATGACGCATTTTCAAACCAATCTGGTGCACCTAATTTGGATGCAATCCTGACCCTTAGATCTCACAATCTAAAGCACCAAATTCATTCTTATTTCTTTAATAAAATCGCATTTTCACTAAAACACACACACACACACACATATATAGACACACACACAAACACAAACACACACATACATATATACATATATATGTATATATGTGTGTGTGTGTGTGTATATATATATATATATATATATATATATATATATATATATATATATAGGGGCCGGTTCCCGTGAGAATGCATCTTGTGGAGAGAAATGAGAATAAAATCTAGCCGTCGGATCTGATGCATCCTGCAGTTCAGATTGCATCCTGCGCTCAGATTTTGAGATAGTGCATTTTCGAAGGTTTATGGTGCATTTTGACGTGATGCATTTTCGCACCATTTTGGTGCATCTAATTTTGATGAAATCTTGACCCTTAGATCTCACAATCTAAAGCACCAGATTCATTCTCATTTCTCTCCTAAGATTGCATTCTCACCAGAACCAATATATATATATATATATATATATATATATANGAATAAAATCTAGCCGTCGGATCTGATGCATCCTGCAGTTCAGATTGCATCCTGCGCTCAGATTTTGAGATAGTGCATTTTCGAAGGTTTATGGTGCATTTTGACGTGATGCATTTTCGCACCATTTTGGTGCATCTAATTTTGATGAAATCTTGACCCTTAGATCTCACAATCTAAAGCACCAGATTCATTCTCATTTCTCTCCTAAGATTGCATTCTCACCAGAACCAATATATATATATATATATATATATATATATATATATATATATATATATATATAAAACATATAACTTATTTAGGGGCTGTTTGTTTCAGCCTCTTAATGGTTCAGATGTCTGAATGGCTCAGACATTTGCCTCTGAATGGTTAAGTATTATACAGAGTCTGAATGGTTAAGACCTCTTATCTTAATTGATCAGACATTTGCCTCTGAATAGTTAAGCAATATACTAGCTCTTAATGGTTCAGACCTCTTATTGGTTCAACCTTAATAGCTCAGACCTCTTATTGGTTCAGCACTTATCTATTTAGAAGTTGCCAAACAGCCCCTTAGGCAGTTAGGCTGGATCCACCATTCACGTCTGAGTATATACTCCTTGTGAATCAAAGATCGATAATATGCACGTGAAATGTATTTCCATTTAAGAAATTAAATGAAAAGATCTAACTAATATTGAATTGAACTCAACAATTAATATACTCTCCGTCAAATAAATTTTTTAGATGAGAGAATCTTTTTGAACTACATGTTTCTTCTTTAAAAAAATTAAAGTAAAAAAAAAATTTGGAACGTCAAGAAAAAGTAGAAAGTTTTTATGAGATTGATGGGCGTAGTAGAATTAAAATATAAAAAATATAATGAAACAAACGCTTGTAAAAAAATAATGAAAAAAACGTAAATTATTTCAAGTGAGATGAAACAATATGCTAGAAAACAAATTATGCTTGTGAAGTAAACTTGGCAATTCTTAACGATCAAATAAAATTATTTTGTAGTATAAATATAGTACAACATAACTTTGATATCAAATAAAATTATTTTGTAGTATACATATACTACAACATAACTTTGATATCAAATAAAATTATTTTGTAGTATAAATATAGTACTCCTTCCGTCCCATAAAACCTTTCTCCTTTTTTTTTTATCCGTCCCACAAAACACTTCTCATTTCTATTAGAAAGTCACTTTTACCCCTTACTTTTTCATACCCTAACTATCACATCATACCTTTTTACTAATAATCTATCCATCAAATCATACTTTTACCCATCACATCAAAGGACATTTTTGGAAATTCAATACCAAAATATACACCCCTTAAATCCCTCCTAAAAAGCAAAACTCCCATGTTTCACGGGACGGAGGGAGTACAACATAACTTTGATTCAGAAAAGTCAAACTAACAAATACCCGAGGTAATATTTGGCAAACCAAAACATGGATCTGAAGAAAGAGAATTCACATTCAATCAAAAAACATGTAAAAAACAATCCAAACCTTAGCTTGGAAAATTTATTTTTCTTGACCCTATGTGTATCTTCCCACAGCTTCATTGAACCGCAATCAAAGAGAGAAGAATCGATATGATGATGCAGTTCAAGAAAGCTGTGGAAGAATATAAAGAGAGTCATAATATAGGGTTTTTCATATATATATATATATATATATATATATATATATATATATATATAGAATCAATCAAGAATGCATTCATACAAGTAGAAGAATTTAACTGGTTTATATATGTATATACTGTATTTATATATGTATAGATTTTATTTTAGTGGGAATGAAGAAGGAAGAGAAAGAGTGTATGGGAATGAGAAGAGATAGATGAAGGAGGAGGAGGAGGGAGTGTTTTTTATAGGGGAGATGATAGAAAATATATACTCCGTATATATATAATGGAAGCTAAGTGGGTTTTTACCAGTAGTTTTACCACCAATCCCAATAATGGGACTAAAAAACAGGAGTGGAAGAACCCCCACATTTTAACCGTGTTATTTTGCAAATTCTTAGAGAGTAGATGCAACTACTTACCCTTTCTAGTCTTTTGGAGACAAATTAATTAGGAATCCCTCTTACGTACTGTATATGGTATGAAGATTAATGCAAATTAAAACACGCAACACCTAAGGACTTGTATAGCGAGGGATGAGTTCTCATATTTTTTGAAATAATGGTGGATCCAGAAAAAAAATAGTGATAAAGGGTACTTTCTAAAATAGTAATTTACATAAATACCACTTAAACATGATGACTTTTTCAAAATAGCATCACATATGTTTTTTTTCTCAATGTAGCACTTTTAGTCATTATCCATTAGTCATTATTCAAGTAAATTAAATCTTCGTCATCAGTGGACATTATGGACATGCATTATTAATTGCTATTTAGGGAATAAAATAATTTAAGTGCTATTTAGAGAAATGACTTATGTCATTATGTTTTAGTGCTGTTTACGTAAATTCCCCAAACTAAAAACTTGAAGAAGTTTATGAGACGGAAGAAGTTTATTACATTTGTGCAATTGAACACTCTAAATAAAATGGATGAAATAAAATTTTAGAAAAAAATGGTTTTTACCCAATCCAGGTCCAGTTCGAGTTTTACTAGTTGCTTTCCGATCCTTACTACTGTATATTTGGTCTTGTCCTTGATCCAAGAAATATCTTTATTGAGTCATGGTCCGATCCTGGCCTTGGTCGGTCATGTTCGGATTTGGATTGATGCACACCACTAATTATGTTATGGATGTTATATTATAATATGTAATTATTTATTAGTTATATTTATTTATCAAATATTGTAATTAGAGTTATGATTTAGCTAGGAATTACACTATGGGGTTTCTCTCTAATCCTAACCATAGTGTAACTCCTAACCATAGTCTAATTTCTAGGTATAATCTAATTACTAGCTCAATCATAAGTCTAACTACAGCATTCAAAAAAAAAATAAGTCTAACTACAATAATTGATAGGTAAATAAATATAACTAAGTATTATAATACAACATTCATAAGACGTTATCACGGCAATACCTATATGGGATTTGCTATGACTCTATGAGTACTCCAAGCTGGGGGTACTTGTACACTAGTTTCAGACATACACACAAATATCAAATGTCTCTGTGTGTATTATTTATGTTCTAACAAGCCCACTCACGTGCAGGCGTGGTCTTTTTCGAGCCTTGCACGTGAAACTTTAATTTTTTTTAAACTGGGTGGCGCTGAGTTTTGAACCCGTGATCTCTTAGTCAACGAGGCTCTGATACCATGTTAAGGAACCAACTCAACCAAGAGCTCAAGCTTGTGGTTGTGACCCAGAAACAGTTATTTATATTCTAACAGTGAGAAGCTAGTATATACTTGCAGTACATTAATTTGGAGTCTTAGAGTACCTCTAGATTTTTCTTAGCTATATTCATTAGTCTTTTTCCTATGCAACCCCGTTCCAAGCTTAGCTTTGCACTCCAAGATAAATACTCCCTCCGTTTGGAAAAAGGCTTCCCACTTTGACTATAAGGCAAAATAAGGAAGTGTAAAATTATAGTTGACTTCCAATTTTGCCCCTGATGTGATGGGTAAAAGTAAGATGTGATGGATTTATTATTAGAGAAAAAGTATGATGTGATTGGTAGGGTATGGAAAAGTAAGGGTAAAGTGGTTTTTTAATAGAAAGAGGAAGTGTTTTGTTGGAAGTGAAAAAAAATGAAAGAGGAAGTGTTTTTGAGAACGAAGAGTGTAAATTCTAATAATTCCTGTTTTACGTACTTATCAATACTTTTCATCATGTGTCTGATAAATCTTTTCGAATTAGGCTCCATTTGGTATGTGGAATTCAAATTATGGAATTGGAATTGAGGACTTCAATTCCAATTCTGGTATTTGGTAGCATAAAAATTATGTGGGTTTGGAATTGATAGTGAAAAAAATAAATTCAAATTGGTAGCATTCAATTCTATAGAATTGAATCCCATAGATTTTCAATTTTAATTCAATTCCAATTCCGTATACCAAACGGACCCTTATAGTCTTGAAATAGAATAAAAAAAATTCAAGTGGTACTTTAAAGATGAGTTTTTTGCTCCATAAATCGTGAATTTTTAAAAAGTTATTCGAATTTCTCTTAAACTTTAAAAGTTATACCAATACCTCCCGAAATTTTAAAAATATTACATCAATGGTTCTTCTGCACAGATTTGAGATTGCATTAATCACAAGCTCATCCAACAAAAATATAAATTACCTAAAGTTGGTTCTTCAATATGATCTTCTCAAATATTATCTTCTATATTTTTAACATTTTTAAATCTTAAACAATTATTCTCGATTTAGTTGTCAGGAATCAAATTTGAAGGTTAGACATAAGTCAATAAAGCTCATCATCAATTCATCAACATGCTCATCAATCCATGACATCTTAATCAAGCTCCAACACGTATTTTGATGAACATGTGACTAACGCGTTTCCAAATCTGACACAGAGAGATCATTGTTGCAACATTTTAAAAATTTCAGGAGGGAATTGATGTAATTTTTAAAGTTTAAAGTGAATCCATGCAATATTTAAAAAGTTTAGGAGTAAATTTCGCAAGAAACTCCTGTAAAAAGATATATATACTCCCTAATAAATTTAGGATGTTGTTAATGTATCCTCAAAATGGCTATATCTATACCTTTTGCCACAATTTTACTAAACTCGCACCATTATTAATTTTATTTGAGCAAAATTAGGTGAAAGAAGTAAACATAGTCATTTAAATAGTGATTTAGCAACACCCTATATTTATTTCTTGTTTAAACATATTATATATTAGTAATTCTTATCAACAAAGAGTACCAGTGTTAAAATAGGTCTGGAAAAAATTGACCCGATCTGTTTTTGACACGAGACCCAACTCTGAAAATAATGGATTTTGAAAAAAAGTTTTATTGACCGAACTCGAAGATGACTGAACTTGAAATGACCCATTAAAGATGCGTCAAATCTGATCGAACCGAACCTGACCTGAACTGACCAGCTAACTTAAAAGTTTTTCATAAAAAATATTGCTATAAAACTAAAGTTACGTTTTATCTTTCTCTTATTCCTCATTTTAGTGTATAAATTTTACTTCTATTTGTAAAAAGTCTTTTAATGATATCACAAAATTATGTTATACTCCTTACTTTTTAAAAGTGGTACACACTTAATTTTGTATATTATTCATAATATTGTTAAATATATTTAAAAAGTAATTAAAAGTTCAAAATAAAACATCCTTGGACTATGAATGTATATATGTATTTTGATGTTTTATTATTTTTTAGTGCAAAATACTCTTCTACGCATCCGATAACATTGGGTCATGACCATGTAATTCTCAACCCGAACTTGAATTATCCGAACTTGATATAATCCAAACGTGAAATTACCAAATCCGAATCTGACCAACTGATTTTGTTAGAATAATAGACCAACGCTAGAGGGGGGGTGAATAGCGTTTGATCAAAAATCGCAGGAATAAAAAATGAATAAACGAGAAGTAAAGAGAAGAGTAAGAGGCACACCGATTTTACCCTGGTTCACCACAACTTGTGGCTAATCCAGCCTCCCGAGAGACTCTCTCGAGCTACACTATTATCTCGTTAAGCTTAACGGTGCTTAACAAACCCGTACAACTTGAGAATTCGAGTCACACGAACCTCAACGAACCTTCGAAGGAAACAGCCCTTCCTTCGAGCAACAAGAGAAATACTTTCTCTTGTCAAGTGTCTAAGAACACTAAAAACACTCAAGAACAATACTCTCTTTAAGAGTGAATAATGAGTAAACTAAGAACGCTCAAGAACACAACACAAGCTTCACAAAAATGGCTCTCAAAAGCTATGAAAAATTGAAGGATGATTTGCAATGAAAGAGTAGAAGTTGTGAAGTAATGTGATATGTAAAACAGACCCAAACACCCCATTTTATAGTGGAAAAGTAGGCTCCAACGGACCAAAACATTTAAGGGGTGATTGGCACAATTTGTGGGATTTGATTAAAATTGGATCTGCTGAAAATCACCTAGACAGCGCTGTCCTAGGCCTGGACATCGCTGTTCTAGGCTTGGTTTTTT